TTTGTTAGGGAGGATAGCATGTCAACTACTTTCTCAATGTCTATGGAAATTCTCAGTCATCCAAGTCATGATTGTCCCAAAGAAGAAGCTTCTTGGATGAGAAGCGAAAAGTCTTTAAAAAACAACAAGAAGAAAGTCCAGTTGCCTCTTGAAAAAGCACCTTTGGGACAACTACTTTCTCACTAATTACGGAGGTCTGAAACATTTTTGCATTGCATTGTTTGGACTTAGGCAACGTTTCTCTCCTTATTGCTTTGGCAACGAATCTCCTCTTTCTCTAACAAGGTCATCCTCTTTACTCTCTACATCAGCTATGCTCAAGGATTATCAGGCTGGAAGTTCACAGTAGTGCACAATCAGCCCAATACATTCCAGCATTCCAGACAGCTGCATTTTGTCAGCAGACTGCTCCATCTGCCGGTAGTAGCAGTAGATCCATTTGAGGCAGAGGTCATTCCGCATGTACACTGAGAGCTTATGCACCGGAGACAAATTCCTTGTGTGTCCAACCACACTTGGCTAATAAAGAATTCTATTCTATTCTATTCTATTCTATTCTATTCTATTCTATTCTATTCTATTCTATTCTATTCTATTAATTCCTCACCTCTAACCCAGTGTGTATTCCACCTTCTCTTGGTATATTTACTTTGAGTCCCTAACATTGCTGGAACTGTTGTAAGATTGATGGTCTGGTTATAAGACTCACTTGTGGTGAGATGGGTGGTAAACAAATTTAATAAATAAATAAGACTGCAGACCTGGGCTGTTTTTCTGCAGCCTGTGGGGACATTATATTTTCCATAGGAGGGCTGTCTCACCTCATTTATAATTCTACTACCACCTGTGTTCAATATCAGTGTTTCTGATTACAACTCTACAGCAAATCATCTTTCTTCATTCCTCCAGAGATTTCCTCTGTTGATCGTGGAGCTTCCAATATCCTGATGTTGCACCTGCATTCTTTATTCTGATTTTCCTTCACTGTCCCTTTCCACATTCAGAAGGGCATCTCTAATGGCTGTTTAAAACCTGAGTCCCTTAACTGAGCCAATCAAAAGGGCTTCTGCACACAAGTTTTAACTGCCGTGTCACAGTGACCATGGAGATACTATACTATATATTTACCATTACCATTGATTTTTTTTTCTTCAACACCATCCCTTGCAGACCAGCAGATGGTCTGGATAGCCTTATTGTCTTTGATTTGGAATTGTCCCAAGTTTTCCAATCCGTATTGTGTTTTCATCACCAGAGCAAAAAGTAAAAATGAATAGCTTTTGGATTGATAACACAAAAAATATTCCAGCTGAAAGGACCTGCCTCTTTTGATAGTCTGTTGGAGAAACAGGGAGAAACAGTGAACAAGAAGAGGAAAAGAATCTGGATAAGTCTAAAAGAGGGAAGAAACGCGGAGGGCAGTTTTGCTCAGAAAAGGAGTAGAAACATAGATTATTTTACAAGAGTTTTTAAATCAGGCTATTGACTACATGTGATCCTGGGGCTCACACCCCCTTATTTGAGGTTGTGTCTTCTTGATCCCACTTTGCATGATATACGTTTTGATCTAATATTCAAACAGCAAATAATAGTTCCTAGGCAACACAGGCAGTCCTCAACTCACAACCATTCATATAGTGACTATTCGAAGTTACAACAGTACTGAAAAAAAATGACTTGTGACCGGTTTTACACTTATGACTATTGCAGCATCCCCCAGGTCACGTGATCTAAATTCAGACACTTGGCAACTGGCATGTATTTATGACAGTTGCATTGCATTGTTCTGAGGTCACGTGATCACCATTAGTAACCTTCCCAACTGGCTTCTGACAAGCAAAGTCAATGGCAAGCCAGATTCACTTAACATCTGCATCATTTACTTAACCACTGCAGTGACTCACTTTTAAAGACTGTGCTAAAATGAGGCCCAACTCACTCAGCAGCTGTTTCCCTTAGCAATGGAAATTTTGGGCTTGGTAATGGTCGTAAGTCGAGGACCCCCTGTAAAATTAAGTTGAAAATAAAGCAGCCTTTCCTTTCAAGCTCTTTTGTTTCAGACATTTGGAACTGGCTTTTGGAAAGAATGACGTTTTGGGGATTCTCTTCCTATTTTGCTCTTCCTACAGCTAAGTCAAAGGCCTACAGTTGAAGAGTTGAGAGAGAGGAAGATTCTCATCCGTTTTAGTGATTACGTAGAAGTGGCCGATGCTCAGGACTACGACAGACGGGCAGATAAACCATGGACAAGGCTAACAGCTGCTGACAAGGTAAGTAGGACAAGCCCCAGAGACAGCCAGGAGGCTGAAGAAACATCTAAGATATTTTTGGAGGAGACCAGTAACCAGAGGATGTAGTTACATTTATTTTCTGTAGCAGTGACTACAGCACCATCCTTGCCAGCTGCAAGTTCATAATGTAATGGTTCCGACAGACAGACACAAATAAAGCAGAACTCCGAGGCTTGCAAGTTCCTCAAAGTACATGTTTATTGATACAAAGTACTGGCACGTCAAAAGTGAAACCAAGTCTGAAAAGACACGTAACAATCCCCAATACAAAGTTAAGAAATCCAACCCCTAAAGCTATGCGAGCTACTACGTTCCCCAATACATCTTCTTGGCGGGCTTTTCACGAAACGCCCAGCCTGCAGTCCCGGGAGGAGCCGATGACCTTGGTTCCCACAGGAGAAAATCTGTTTAGTCTAGCAAAGCACCTGGTAAACCCTCCTCCCTCCATGCTATGTATCAACTGAAAATGAGTATGGAAAATGGCTGCAGCAACGCTCATTTTCAAAGTTGACAAAGACCTTTCCCAGAGGAGACAGAATTGTATGGTGTTTTTTTTCCTCTCCTCTCTTTTTAACCAGCTTATTTTGTTCTTTTTAGTCCCGGCTTTTTAGTTTTACTTAAGTTATTTTTGCTATTGTGCATTTCCATAATTATTCCGGGTGCTTCCACACAAGCCTTTTATTCTTACGATAACATTTCCTCATTTATTGACATGTATAGGAGTATGGTGGGCGTTTCTTCCATGTGAAAGGCTCCTGTGGTTTCCCTGTGGAAGAGTGACACCTCCTTAGCTGCAGAGTATGACTGTTCCTCGCCCAGTTTATTCACCTATTTCTTTTCCGCTGGGCTAATCACTTATTCTTTTGTCACACGCAGGCAGCAATTCGCAAAGAGCTAAATGAATTTAAAAGCACTGAAATGGAAGTTCATGAATTAAGCAGGCATTTAACAAGGTAAGCTAATACCCTTTTAAACAAAAGTTCTTACAAACCACCCGAGCTTGAAGCTATTCCTATATCTTATTTATTTATCTTATTTGTTAGATTTTTCTCTTGCTCAAGGCAGCATGGGTAGCGGTTTCTTCCTCCAATCTTATTCCCATTGCAACAACCTCTGAGGAAGGCTAGGCTGAGATTTGCAGACACAGACAGATTCAGAATCACCCAGGGTATTGTCGTGGCTGAGGGTACCAGAATTCCCTAGCCCAGGGGTAGGCAACCTTGGCTCTTTTATGACTCGTGGACTTCAACTCCCAGAATTCCTGAGCCAGCATGGCTGACTCAGGAATTCTGGGAGTTGAAGTCCACGAGTCATAAAAGAGCCAAGGTTGCCTACCGCTGCCCTAGCCAACATGGCTGGCTGAGGAGTTGAAGTTCACAAGTCTTAAAGTTGCCAAGTTTGGAGAGCCTGACTTAAAGCACTATAGTAAATAAAGCCCCCTTTTTAAAATTACTACAAGTCAGATTTTGTTTGTTTGGTTTTGTCACTTTGATTCTTCTGAGTATGGGTGCTAATGCTGGTAGTAATAAATCTCATTTGTCTGGGGTTTTTTTCTTCTTCACTTTTTAGGTTTCACAGACCATAAGAACTGAATGTGCTGCCATCTTGAGAACGTAACGGAAAAGAACCATAAGTGCTGATATCGTTCATTTCTCTGTTAGGTACAGTGGTAAATCTTTTGAACTGCCTTCCTAAAACCCATAAAAACATGCAGAAAACATGAGTTTTCTCATCCTGGGAATAACTTCCTCATACAATCTGTTGGCACAACATTCAGCAACGGAGATTATCTTGGCAAGAATCATGCCTGGAGTTGGCACTTATATTTTAAATGCTGCTGTGTGGAGTCCTCAAGCCATTCACATTAGTTGTCTTTCTTTGGATCCCGTCAGTCCTCTTTCATCTCTGAAGGAAGCTGAGGCCTTTGGTATTTGGCACTGACAGAAGCCCTGCTGGACACAAGCTCACTGTTCTGGAACAACATTTCTACCAAACATTTCGTTCTGTGTGGAGCACCTTAGGACGTGATGGGGGCGAGCTGGGGAACTAGAACCCACTCCAAAGGATCCCTCTCTCTTTGACTCTCCATGCCCCACCATCCCAGGAGGATCTTTGGCTGACTGGCGGATACTCTTTTGTTTTCTACAGGACCAAGAAGGATTCCTCACCATCCATTTCTCCCTTTCGAATGATTCTTTTGCTGCAACGTTTGGAAGAGTTCAAGATTTATGAACTTTTCATAGCAAGCTTGTTTTCTACAGTGGAACATGTCACGCTGCCTTTTGCCCTGCTGACTATTTCATGTTTCATATGGTCCTGTGTAGCAGTTTGATAGCCTAGCTTTGTCCTGGCATGGCCTGTCAGCTTTACATAGGTTCTTCCAATTCACTAATGTGCGAGACAGAAAAGACATGAGTTAAAGAGAACCATAAGGTTGACTTTATGTTGTATGCTTGGATGTTGATTTTTGTTTTCTTCTTTTAACAGGAGGGATTTCTATTCTACAAAATGTTCCTTGGTATAAATAACTAAATATGCTGTTGTGAATGGCTCAGTCTTAAATTGAGAACCAAAGCATTTGGCAAAAGGCTAGAGATGTGATATTATTGTTATTATCATATTTTATATTTTATTTTATTATATTATTTCATTTTTAAGGTATTGGTCTTTTATTAATAAGATTATCTTTGCACATTGGAAAGAATTATGAACCCACTGTATCAAAACACTTTAGTGATGTCTACTAACATCTATATCTAGTTCAGATTAAACATATCTGATTATGCCTTTTAGCTAGAAACTTTACCAACTTGAATGTTTTGCCCATCCCAAACAAAACACTATAGATATAGCAGCTTTAATTCTCAGACCTTCATTGGTGTAAGACTATAGTCTGGGATCCAAATGTGGCTGTACTTAGAGGAGACCTATTATAGTGAATAGGGCTTAAATAGACAATAATTTAAGTTCTATTGATTTCAGTGGGTCTGCTCTTAAAGTGATGGCTACTTAAGCTCAGCTGATTTTAGTGGGCTTCATCTATTTATGATTAAACCATAAGAGTTTAATTGGATTGATTGATTTTCTTTTGGAAAACATGTATATGAAAGTACATTTCAATGGGTGGCTGCAGTGATTCAGGTTTTTCTCCAAAATAAAACCTGAGTTACTGCAGTGCACGTTACAACGCTCAGAGTTCCACCGAATAAGTGATTAAACTGGACTAAGAAAATCCGTTTTTCCTTACACAGACTACTTTTGACTATTTATGTTACTCTGGGTATAAGAAAAAGGAGATGAAGTAATAAAGTACTTTGTTTTTAGATAAAAGTACAAGTATTGCAGGGGTTTTAATGCAAAAAATTATAAAGAGATTACGACATCAGCAGATGAAATAGGTGGGCTTGTAGCTGGGTGAATTGCTAGCATTGTGGAGATGGGAGGGTAGTAAAAATGTTAATTCATTTGCCCGGTTTCCACACAGCAAATGTATGGCCGATAAGCTGTTTTTCATACCTTGAAAACTGTCATTTTAACATAGCCAGTTTTTAATCCGTCATAGTTTCATAGCATTATGAAATAATGGGGACCCACTTGCCCACCATACCAGCCTCTCAGTCCACTAACTCTTGAGTGAAGGTCCTCCCCATTGTTCAAAGTCTTATTCTTCCCACCATCACCACCATGGATTGCCTTTTTCGCTTTTCCTTCCCCTCTTGAGAAGAATAAGTTACATAACTGATCCCTGTCTGCACATCTGAAGTTCCAGATGACTGTAACTCCACTTTTTTCACAATCCAGATAGTTCCTGTCTCCTGCCTCTTTACCTATGAGGAGTAAAAGACCAGGATCACACGTGAAGTTTCAGTTAAACTGCTAAAAAGCTCCTGCACAAGAATCTTCTCAATTAATGGTCAGCATTTGATTAAAGTTAGATAAGGGTCAATGGCATTCAAGGGGGGTGGTGGACTTAATTCATTTGGATTATGTAGGGATTCTAGGCTGATCCCCTTTTCACTCTGCCCCAGTTACTGCCATTCCCTCTCTTACATCATCTTCCATAAAAGTGAAAGCATTTTTGTCGATGCTGGAAGACACAAGGAATAGTAACTCCTTGATTCTTTCTAGGCAGGTAAATGAATGAAACCAAGAAATAGGGCATAACTAATGCATACAACGGAACCATATGGTGTATCTTACCAAAATGGAGGGTGTCTTTGCTTTCTGCATACACATTTTCTCAGGTGCAAAATATTTTATTCCAATCCTTATCACCCATACAAGCAAATTGGTGAAGTGGGCAAAATTCTTTATCCATTTTCAAAAGGTAGAAGTTAAATAACTGGTTATTCTCTGAAGTTCTTTGATGAAAAATAGCTTACTTTTGAAGATTGAATGGTGTTTTGTCTTTTTTGAACACAGCTATTTCTCCTACACAGTCAGCTGAAACACTGAGTATACTCCACTACTATGCCAAATTTAACTCTTTTCCTCACCGAAATCTATGGGTATGGGCAAAAAATAAGCTATTGTTGTTGCCCTACTCTTATTCATTTCACCAGGGCTTAAGTAGGATGTGTTTTATTTAAATGGAGATAGGAAAAGTCTTTTTCCTAGCATATTCAGTTTATTTCTAAGCCTCTGTTGTTCACATGAAGATCTCACAAACATCTCCTTCATTGATATCACAAGCATCTATTTTTCACTCCTGGGGGAACCATTCCCCCCCCCTTAATCTCTATGAAAGAATAATGATTGTAAATCTTGCAAAAGGCACATAGGGTTGCAAGTTAGTCCCGCATCCAACTTGATTAGGCAGCTTTAATGGTTGCAGGATTAGAAATGGGGATTCCAGTTGCTCTCCAAGTTATTCTGAAACCGGTACATTTCCCAGGCTCTCTTCCTGTCAAACTTATGTACATAGTTTTGTCTTTGTATAGGAGTGAATGTGGTGACAGTCAAGACTGTGATCTTCCAGTATTGTAATTTAACAGAATATGGCTGTATGAAAAACAACGATAAAATGTAAATATCTAGAGAAAACACTAAAGTGAATCTCTGCATCTAGAGTTTCAATTTGTACATACTGAAACTGCATGGTATTTAAATTGTCTTGGATGTATGCAGTTTCTTTAAAAAAAAGTTTCAAAGAAAAAAATGCTCTGGTTTTCTTTCTTCTGTCTGTTACATGTTCAGAGATGCTCAGTAATCAAAAACTAAGCTGCAAAAAAGCAATACTCAAAACAAAGCTCTGGGGAAGTCTTTTTTGTCCTTTGCAGAACTACATCTTGTCCACCTACCGTACGTAGAATGCAAAGGTGGGCACTCAGGACTAGATGTCATTAAAGGAGGATCAGATCAAACGGCCTCTCTTTTGAGTCCTGCAGGCTAAGGGGCTGTTACATACATTGTGTACATAATCCCAAGGAGAAAAACCCACTGACACAAAAAATGGAAAAGATATTTAAAAGACCTGTATGCTCCTTGTAACCTTCTTGAATCATCAGGGCTATATTTCATGTCTAGCCACTAGTGGTACTATTCCTTGTCAATATCAAGAATAGATGATGTGGTTTTTTTCCCTGCTGCAAAGGTTTTAAAGGAATAGTTTGGTACTGGTTGTCTTCATCTCTGGTTTATGGATTCCCTGGAGGCCTTTATGCTCCTGAAACAAAAAAAATTGATTAAATGCTAAATTGTCCAAACAAAACAGCTATTTTCTTATTTTAAAAAAAACTGATTTGGTCATTGATTTTGGAGATTAAGCAATCCCATTTTGTCTTTTTTACATTTTTTCTTTTTCATTGTTTCCAGTTCTTCAGAAATCATAGCTGTGGTTTCAATTCACTGGGAAAAAACTGCGTTGATTATATTTTGTCAAATCCTGCTAAGTCTTCTCCTTTAGTACTTTCTCTTAGCCCTGGACAGTTATTGATTGAAGAGTGTATCACTGAATTAATTTCACTTCACAAAACAAACCTTCCCATCCTTAATCTTTGTATGCAAAACTGAGTGATGAGCTTTCCACTAGCATTCACATGACAATATTTGACTTCTGAGCATTGTGAAAAACTTCTACGAGCTCTTTATACACTAATTTAAAATAGATTTGTTCAGGTGAAAACGTTTGCAGAACATTAAAAGAGAACAGTCTGCCTCTGAAGAAAGATTTGCATTGTACTAGTCTGGCACCTTATTTTTAAATAGCAATTTACGCTTGATACAGTGAGTAGTCTTGTACTGCTGTGGAAGAAAACAAGATTCAAAGAAGGGATCAAGCCATTGCCAGAAACGATTTGTTGCTTGCACTGTCAATGTCACCTTAATCATAAAGTAATCTGCATTTTAAGCATATGAATGGAAAGGCAATACATTTTCTATTTTCTATAATAAAAATGAATCCACTCTATTATGAAGTGCTGATGGCTGGAGGTCCTAAAACTTTTTCCAGATCATCTGTGGTGGTGCAGTGGTTAGAATGCAGTCTTGCAGGCTAATTCAGCTCACTGCCTGGAGTTCAATCCTGACTGGCTTAAGGTTGACTCAGCCTTCCATCCTTCTGAGGTCAGTAAAATGAGAACCCAGATTGTTGGGGGCAATATGCTGACTCTGTAAACCGCTTAGAGAGGGCTGTAAAGTACTGTGAAGCGGTATATAAGTCTAAGTGCTATTGCTATCTCTGGATATTCAAACTCCGCTCCTATTTCCTCTGTTGGTTTAGCAGCTTGATCATTCCTGCTGCCACAATCCATCTTCTGGGGTAGAATAAGGGATAATTACCTCACTTGATATACAACTCTTAGTCTTGGCATGAGAGGGAAAAAGCAGTCACTTCCAATGTTGCCCTTTATCAAAAGAAAAAGTTCAAATAATTTATATAATGCCATTTCCTTGCTGCATAGGGTAGAGCGATGGTGGCTGGAGGATTCAACCCTTCTTCTCCCTTTGAGAGACAAACCAATTCCACAGGAGATATATAGAATCAAACTTTATTAAAAACAGAAAATGTAAAATGTAAAACTTATTTTGAAAATGTAGCACGAAAAGGTAGACATTCAAGGTGGAGGGTAATTACAGAGCTGTCCAGATCGTGGTCATTTAGCAGCTTACAAATTAGTTTTAATATAAAAGAAAATACAATTCTCTAGAGAGACCAGAAGTTGGACGGTGAACTAATTCAAAGGGAACATTATGTAGTCAAAATCTCTGAAAAACAGACTGGACAGATTTCCAATTATTAAATTAATATAACACAGAAGGAAAAAATATATTCATGAAAACAGGGTAAAGGATTAAATCCCAAATACACAATTTACAGGTACTCAATGTCTTAACCATTCAGCCAGTGACCATTCCAAGTAATGATGGCACTAAATGAATGGTGATTACAACCATCATTGGAGTTCCAGACATCCCAGCGCACTTGCAATCACACGGTCACGATCTGGATGCACACTGCAAAGATCTTCACCCAAAATGTTTAACTAGGTCAGATAAAGTCCTAGCAGATGCAGTGATATAATGCAGGGGTCCCCAATCCCTGGGCCGCAGCATGCCAGCAACCGGGCCGCACAAACAAGCAGAGCCCCATCCGCGAGGTGCAGGCAGCACACAAAACCACACTCTCTCCGGTCTGCAGAAAAACCTTTCTCCGTGGAACTGGTCCCTGGTGCCCAAAAGGTTGGGGACCTCTGATATAATGTTTAATTTTAACCTTGATTTGTTTCATGGCTTAGCAATGTTGTGCAAACCCCAGCCTACCTGGTTAGCTTATAATTCAATGTAGTGTGCCAACCATGAAAAAACACCCAAAGCATTTTAATTGGGCCTTTTTATAACACCAACAGCCGTTGTCCACTTCTTGTACATTGGCTGATTTGCACATAGCCTTTGTTTTGTACAGAAACCGAGATGTGTTAAGAGGAACTTCTGCCAATTTATTGCATTTAGTTTAGGCAGAGATTGGACCTATTATACTAAGGGAAAGAGGTTGTGCTATTCAACTGCTATGGCCCACATACTCCCTTCTTCAAATCTAGAAGAATCTGCATGATAAAAAGGAGCATGTTCAGCTGAATACTTCAGTAAGTAGAGAATGAATAAGCACCATAAAAAAATTGACAAAAACTTTACTTTCTAAATACTTTGCTTTTAGGTTTTCCATTTCCCAGTTAGCCTCTTCCCCAAAAATATCTGTTTACACATATATATGTAGAGGTTTTTCTGACAGGAAATCTGTGATCTTCCAAATGTTGCTGAACTACAACTTCCAGAATCCTTCACCATTCACAATGTTAACTGGGACTGCTATGAGTTGTCATAGATTTCAACCCTCTACAACAGGAGTGAAACACCACAATTACAACCACTGTACCCACAATCTTTAAATAACTTTAATTATATACATTCAGAGAGGGAAACAGTCAAAAACAGAAATGCAGGTAATTTCAAACTGAATGAGCAGGGGTCCCACAATGTTTGTGCCACAGTTCAATGGCCTTGCTCACAATTGCATCAGTGTTATCTTGAGGTATCTATGAAAGATAAAAACATAGCTTGAGATACAGAGGTATTTTACAGTGCAGCCTTGAATATGCTTGGCCTTGGTCTTCAAAATACTATTGAATTTAATTAAAGCACCGTTTTCTTAGAATTTAGAATGTATGAACTACTTACATTTTCCAAAAACTGTTCAATCTTTTCAGCACTAGTCAAGGCCATCAACTTCATTTTAAAGGTTAACAAGATCTCAACAGCAACAAAGACCAGGATTTTGCAAGAACCACTAATAACCTTGTCCCAAACCCTAGAAAATTCAACGAGACAGTCATAAAATTGTCTGTTCTTAATTTTACATCTATAATTCATATTATCAATACATTTCCTTTATGATTAAAGTCAAAATTTGGTGAAGGCCTAGAAAAGCTAAACAACTCCTGGAAAAGCTGAAAAATTGACATTTTTCAGAATGCTGGCAATCTTGCTGACTGTCAAAACATTATGTCTATGTGATTCCTGGGCATATACTCCACTGAAGATTACATGGACTTAAATTTTTCCAATCTGGGAGAGGGGGAAGGGAGAAAAACTTACCTTTGTAAACTCGATTCGGGTAGGCATCCAGCAAAACACTTTCTAAACCAAAGTTTATAAGGAAGTTGGCCCGTGGCTGAACACAATTTCAGATGTGCTAGAAGCCGGCTGTCCTCAAGGCTGAGGATTTGTTCCAGAAGTTTTGGCTGCAGTAGCATGAATAGAAAAAGAATTAATGAAATGTGCTAAAATCATTTTTTAAAACTTGTCTTGTTCGTAGATATTTGTGGCAAGAAAACTATTTGTGATGGTGGTGAATATCTGTAGCTCGGGTGGAGGATGAGGGTGGAGGTTCGTTCTTCGAGCTTGTGGGTTGGTTTCCGAATGTTTCGTTACCAGGCTAAGTAACATCTTCAGCGGAGTTTAGGGGATGTCAGTGTCAGTGTTCCTCTGTTTATAAAGGCTTTGTGTGGTCAGTAGGTCTTGTGACGGGAAGGTCACTTCCCCATCACAAGACCACACGAAGCCCTTATAAACAAACACTGACACTGACGTCCCCTAAGCTCCACCGAAGATGTTACCTAGCCTGGTAACAAAACATTCGGAAGCCAACCCACAAGCTCGAAGAACGAACCTCCACCCTTAAAGAAAACTATTTCTCAAATTAAATTTAGTGTTATATATAAAGCAAACGACTTTATGCGTGTTTTCTTAAAAGTGAGAAATATACAGTACATCATCGTTTGAGAATTCTTTTACAGAACCAATTTTGTTTTTTAAAAAAAGGAATCACAAAACAAAAAGTACACATTAGGATATTTCTGTCTGCTAATCAATTGGGTGTTTATTCCAGTAGCTCTGCTTCGACATGCATTTCGCATGCATATAGGACTGTACCACACATCTTCAACATTACTGGTCACAATTTAAGAATCACCCTTACCCCCCCCCCCC